CCCCCAGGGAGGCCGGAGAAACCCTTGCGGGCCGCCGAGCGACTAGAAGGGGCAGCGCGTTTCAGCCCCCATCCCTGCCTGCGCCCCGACCCGTGCCAGGCGCTGGGGGAACAATGGTGAATGCAGAGCTCGCCAGCTCCCAGCGCAGCCCTGCGCCGCCGCCGGGTCCTCGGCCCGGGAGCCAAGGGAGGACAGGTGCGGCTCACCGAAGCGCAGCCGGTACCCGTCTGTCGTTTCGTCCCGCGGTCCCCAGGCGCGGTGGGCCCCCGCCCGTCGTTGCCTTCTGGGCGAGCTGGCCTCTGATGATTCCTGGGTGCCTTCAGAGGTTCTCTCAATTAGTGTAAGGAGCGTGGTGGTGAGAGTGGGAGGCTGCTAGCAAAGTTCCGTCGGACCCACAGCGTGGGAGAAAGATGTGGCAGCCTCGACCTTCTTCCAGGTGGCACGGACGGCCTTGAAAACCCGATCCCACTAGATGGCTAAAAGTCATCATCCACCTAGGGTACACCTGTATATAAACTAGAAAGGTTCTTTTGTCAACAGAGCATGGAAAACAAGGTTCTGAACCTAGACCTGGATATCCTTGGGAAGGTCAATGACATTCCCTGGAGTGATCATGTATCTACGCATTTCTGGGCAAAGGTCTGTCGTTTTCATGCAATTTCCAAAGGACTCTGGAAAGGTTAAACACCACTGATTTTACAGTTTCGATTGTCAAAGGCATAATGAACAAGGATGACTGAAGAGCTGACTCATTCAGATAGTGCTGTTGGTGAAAAATATTGGACATACCGCGGGCTGCCTGAACAAACAAGTCAGTCCTGGAGGAAGTACAGCCAGAAGGCTCCCTAGAAGTGGCTGTGGCGTGGTAATTACATAATGTCCTGTCAACCTGAAGATTTATGAAAGTGTAGGGGTGGAGTCTAGCCTGCCAATCAGGCCACAGCTTGATGGTGCCTCCTTGTGGGTGTGGCCTTCTCATAAGAAGAGACCTCATATATCTATTTCCCCATCCTCATATATTTATATATGAGGATGGGGAAATAGATCTATGTGCATATATTTATAGGGTTAGTATTAAGGTAGCAGAAGGACATCGGGCCTCCACTCAAGTAGTACTCCCTCAATGCAAGAATACTTTCTTCTATTAAATTGGCATTCTGTGATGCTCACCCTCCTGACACAAGCGCGGAAGACAAAGCGGGTGAATAAGCAAATGTGGTGCAGAAAGCTGATGGTGCTCGGCTATCAAAAGATACAGCGTCTGGGGTCTTAAAGGCTTGAAGGTAAACAAGTGGCCATCTAGCTCAGAAGCAACAAAGCCCACATAAGAAGCACACCGTCTTGTGCGATCACAAGGTGTCGGGATCAGGCATCACCAGAACAAAAAAATCTTACCATAGCGAATGAGTGGGGGAGTGCAGGGTGGAGACCCAAAGCCCATTTGTAGGCCACTGGA